GGAAGGAAGTAGTTCTGCACAAAAGAGGGTTTTATTAGGCACTCCATTGTCTCTTGTTTAATTACAGTTCCGTCTAACCGTTGTATAAACGCAATATCACAGCGGCTGTGATTGCCTCCGGCCTCGTGCCTCTGGCCTAATCACAGCCATGCTGATATAGAGCCGGTATCGCTCTCGCATTTGCTAAAATCATTTAAGTTAATTTTTTTCCTCATTAATGTACACACAGCACCCCATATTGACAGAAAAACACAGAATTGTTGACATTTTTGCAGATTTATTAAAAAATAAAAACTGAAATATCACATGGTCCTAAGTATTCAGACCCTTTGCTGTGACACTCATATATTTAACTCAGGTGCTGTCTATTTCTTCTGATCATCCTTGAGATGGTTCTACACCTTCATTTGAGTCTAGCTGTGTTTGATTATACTGATTGGACTTGATTTGGAAAGCCACACACCTGTCTATATAAGACCTTACTGCTCACAGTGCATGTCAGAGCAAATGAGAATTATGAGGTCAAAGGAACTGCCTGAAGAGCTCAGAGACAGAATTGTGGCAAGGCACAGATCTGGCCAAGGTTACAAAAAAAATTTCTGCTGCACTTAAGGTTCCCAAGAGCACAGTGGCCTCCATTCCTTAAATGGAAGACGTTTGGGATGACCAGAACCCTTCCTAGAGCTGGCCGTCCGGCCAAACTGAGCTATCGGGGGCGAAGAGCCTTGGTGAGAGAGGTAAAGAAGAACCCAAAGATCAGTGTGGCTGAGCTCCAGAGATGCAGTCGGGAGATGGGAGAAAGTTGTAGAAAGTCAACCATCACTGCAGCCCTCCACCAGTCGGGGCTTTATGGCAGAGTGGCCCGACGGAAGCCTCTCCTCCGTGCAAGACACATGAAAGCCCGCATGGAGTTGTGAGATGGTGAGAAATAAGATTCTCTGGTCGGATGAGGCCAAGATAGAACTTTTTGGCCTTAATTCTAAGCGGTATGTGTGGAGAAAACCAGGCACTGCTCATCACCTGTCCAATACAGTCCCAACAGTGAAGCATGGTGGTGGCGGCATCATGCTGTGGGGGTGTTTTTCAGCTGCAGGGACAGGACGACTGGTTGCAATCGAGGGAAAGATGAATGTGGCCAAGTACAGGGATATCCTGGACGAAAACCTTCTCGAGTGCTCAGGACCTCAGACTGGGCCGAAGGTTTATCTTCCAACAAGACAATGACCCTAAGCACACAGCTAAAATAATGAAGGAGTGGCTTCACAACAACTCTGTGACTGTTCTTGAATGGCCCAGCCAGAGCCCTGACTTAAACCCAATTGAGCATCTCTGGAGAGACCTAAAAATGGCTGTCCACCAACGTTTACTATCCAACCTGACAGAACTGGAGAGGCTCTGCAAGGAGGAATGGCAGAGGATCCCTAAATCCAGGTGTGAAAAACTTGTTGGGTCTTTCCCAAAAAGACTCATGGCTGTATTCGATCAAAAGGGTGCTTCTACTAAATACTGAGCAAAGGGTCTGAATACTTAGGACCATGTGATATTTCAGTTTTTCTTTTTTAATAAATCTGCAAAAATGTCAACAATTCTGTGTTTTTCTGTCAATATGGGGTGCTGTGTGTACATTAATGAGGAAAAAAAATTAACTTAAATGATTTTAGCAAATGGCTGCAATATAACAAAGAGTGAAAAATTTAAGGGGGTCTGAATACTTTCCGTACCCACTGTATATATATATACACATACCTACACCTCAAGATATAATGTAACATTATATTATATCATATTATGATGGATCAAAACAAGCCCTATCCTACATTATTTCCCACCAACTATTCAGTTACCCTCAGAAATGTCACTTTACCAAAGCTAAATGTTTTGCAAACGTGTTTAAAAATTAAAAGTTAAAAGTTGTTAATTTAAATCAAATGATGTTGATAAAACTTAGCTATTGAATTTATAATTGCATTCCTGAAGCACAATGTTACAAGTGCATTGTGGGAGCAGCATCAGACACTATCAGGCTGAAAACTCGCCTGTCCCGCTGCCTCAGTCAGCCCACACAGCGCTTTGGATGCCACACCCACGCAATCCCCAAATGCTGGCACGTTTCCCGTCTTACAGTGCTGTGAGATTCCAGCCATGGATTCCCCGAGAACCTGTTCAGTCAGACGGCGAGATGTGTAAACATTTGGCACGAACAAGTTTCTTTAGAGAATTCTGGAATATTGTGATGGATTCTTTACCTTGGAATTCTCCATAACGCTCTCAATGCAGTCAAAATAAGAGAGATCGCTGACCGGCTCATTGGGATTGTCCAACATTCCTCGAACAGCCTGTGTGTATGTGGGAGAGGGAGAAGTTAATATCCTTTAAGATTTTGAACATGCCTGTTGAGATATTTCTAACTTACAGTATATCAAAGAATTTCAAGGCTCATAAATGTAATAAAAAACACACTACTCGGAAGATGAACAAGAAGCATTGTATGTGAGGATGAAACAGCCTATTTCAAAATGATTACTGGAGACACACACAGGTTTTGACAAATTATAATCATTCACAGACCCCAAATCATCATCGTTGGCTCTACTTGAGTACATGATTGACCTGTGGCTAAGGCCAAATATGATATAATGTTGATCTTATATGAGTAAGACAACCAGAGAAGACCTAACGAAACAAAGAGGCCCTCATCTTGCTTATTTCATACTGTTTGTCGAAATATATGTGAAATAATTCAAAACATACACACACACACATACACACACATATATACATATATATATATATGTTTTGTGTGTGTGTATACACACAAAAAACACACACATAAAAAAAACATAATATATTGTAATATTCATATTCATACATTTGTATTTTTATATGAAAAATTACTTTTGTTGACATTCATAGAAGTACAATATCATGATAATTTCATCAATAATAATCTCAAATATAAAATGTATAACACTTTGAGAGACTAAGTGTGTGTGTGTTCAAGTACCTCAAGTTCTCGTAGAGCATTGTCACACTCTTTTTGTCCTGGTGCCTGCTGGGTACACAGTGTGATGAGTTGATTAATGCTCTCTGTGACCGCTCTGAAACAGAAAATCACACACAGTCAGACTGACACAAAAAGCTCCGTTAAAGACTTCACATATCAAATCTATTTTTCACAAACTCATTGAGCTTTCAGTCCCTTCTAAACATAGGAAGCAAACACTAACATTGAGGTCTTAGAAATGTAGCAGAATCATGATAAAACTAGGTTTTGTTACACTCATATGAGCCAAGATGCAAGTAAGTGTATATGTGTGTTGGTATGTATGCGTGTCAGTCTACTCTCTCCTTCATTAAGGAAAGTAAATCAATCAATCTAGCTCTAAACCCTCAGGAGCAGCTGCTTTCCTGTGGTACCTGAGAGGATTCTGCAGCTTGCACGCACACACACACACACACACACACACTTTTTTTTCATCATGATAGGTACTTTCCACTGACTTCTATTGTTTTTATATTGAGCTAATAATATTTTATATCCCCTTATTCTGGCCCTAAATGTAACTCAAGCCCAAAACCATTCTCCTTTTTTAGATTTTCATTATGACATTATTTATTGTCTATTATGCTGTACTATTATGCTTGTGTGGGGCCGTTGGATGGAACACACACATCTGACACAAAATAACAAACACAGAAGCAAACTCAATAAAAACAAAACCACAAGCCCAAAAACACTCAGAAGAAAATCCAAATAACAAATAAATAAACAAATATACAAGCTAACCAAACACACACACACACAAACAAACACGTGTACTAGGGTTGTGACGGTGAGGAAATTTTCCCACCGGTTAATCGACGAGTGACAACACCGATAATACCGGCATCACCGTTGGGGTGTGTGTGGGGGTGGGGGGTGTTAGTTCGTTTGAGTTTCCCTCTTTTCTTTGCTTTCAAATGGCTTGTAAAAGTGGCATGCAAATTTTACTTTCACTTTCAAATTAGCGGCAAATGCCGCAATTCGGCATCAAGCAATTGTTTGTTTGAGTTTTCCCTCTTTTCCTCGGATTTCTTGGCTTTTCAAATAGCTTGAAAAAGCGCCTTGCGTGTTTTACTTTCATTTTCAAATGAGGGGCAATTCAGCATTGACTCAATTCAAGCAACAACAAGGTCAAACTCTGAACTTTTATTAACAAAACGAATAAAAATACATCATATAGGCCTATACCTAATAAAATAACAAATTACTTAGGCAACACAAAGTTTAAATAGGTATATAAAACCAGCAAACATTGTGGAACCAAATAAATATGAAACATAGAACGTTTATTAGCAAAACGAATAAGAAAGCTTGGAAGCACGGCATATACACCTTGATGTAAAATAAAATAAAAATACACAAAGTTTAAATAAAGTAATCAGCAAACACTGTGGAACCAAATAAATATGAAACATAGAACGTTTATTAGCAAAACGAATAAGAAAGCTTGGAAGCACGGCATATACAACTTGATGTAAAATAAAATAAAAATACACAAAGTTTAAATAAAGTAATCAGCAAACACTGTGGAACCAAATAAATAAGAAAAGAATGTTAAAAAAAAACTTCCTGTCAATAGGCTTTTCAAAATTTAAAATATTGCCAAACAGGCGCCTTTGCATTTCCTTTCTAAACAATCTTCTGCCATCGTCTTGTCTTTCTCACCTCACTCTTGTCAGTCAGCTCGACTCGCTCTCCTCTTGTGATAAATCAAATCTGACTCCTGCTCCGTGGTGTGCGATGGCGCGATGTCTGTCCTCTAACTGAACTAGGCTAAATGATTTTTGTTACTATAAAAAAATCTAAACGATGGTGGGGGCCGGTTCCGGGGTAGGCAAATGACGTAACCGGTGTTGCGGCTTAACACCGGTATAATCAAAAACACCGTCTATCGCAGCAAGCCTAGCGTGTACAAGCAAAAATACGCCCACACATAAACAAAACTTAAACACTAACAAACAAATCATGCACACTAGAGACAAAAGAATACTCACACAATAACAAACAAAACTCAAGCACAAAAAACACACTACAAACAAACATACACAATAACTAACAACTTAAACACTAACAAAACACACACACACACACACACACCAACAAAACTCTCTCTGACACACTAATAAACACAAACATACTCGCACAACAACAAACACAAACATGCCAGCACAATAACAAACAAAACTCAAACACTAACTAACAAACACACACACACACAAAAACATACACAATAACAAACAAAACTCACAAAAAACTCACATTAACAAACAAACCTACTCCTACAATGACAAACAAAATGCATATTAATACACAAAAATACTCACACTAACAGACAAAACACACTAACAAACAAAACTCACATAATAACAAAGACAAACATTCACACTAACAAACAAGCCATTTGCTCAAACACTCATACACTAACAAACATACACACATAAACACAAACACTTGCAAACTAACAAACAAAAAAACAGATAAACAAGCAAACCCACTCTCCAAACATGTTTGCTCGACCTAGTAATGTGTATTTATTTGTTTTCCTCAAGGGGATATTTGGTAGACAGAACATAGATAATTCAACAGAATTCTATTGTTTTAACACTTCATTTTAAGGATTAATTCTCACTATTAACTAGTTTATTAGCATGCATATTACTATCATACTGGCTGTTTATTAATACTTATAAAGCACAAATAAATGCCTTATTCTGCATGATCATATTTTAGATCCCTTAATCTGACCCCGCACCTAAACTTAACTACCGTACTAACTATTAATAAGCAGCAATTTACGAGTTTATTGAGGTAAAAGCTGTAGTTAATAGCTAGTTAATAGTGAGAATTGGTCCCCAAACTAAAGTGTGATTGTTTTTATATAGATAGTTAATAAATAATATAATCTAACCCTAATTCATACCCTAACAGAAAACTTTCTGCATTTTTACATAAAAGAAAAAAAAAGAAAAATACAAAACTTATTTACAGTGTTTAACAAATGAGGATGCCCCCAAAGGTTTTGTCAGATTTAGCTCACTTCTGGATACAAATGTCTCAAAATATGGTTAAGTAAGCATGTCCTCACACACTCATACACAGTTTCTGATTTTGCGAAAGCTCTTTTTTTTGTCGTTGGCCAGCAGGGTGACCTTAGGATGACTGGTTAATGATCACTAAACTCTCCCTAGACTGCCGAATGAAGCTCATTCCTACCGTGCCGCAGCTGCGAGGAGGTTCTTGGCGTTTGCCGCCCCTGGATCTACAGAGAGGGACTTGGCAGCCAATAGCAGCTTACTGGATGCCATAGAGATGTTCTTCAGGTTGCCAATCACCTGGATCTGGTCATCTTTGGACTATGGAAACAGAAGATGGCAGCTCAGCCTGCAGTCAAACGATGTTGTTCTTTAACTTTATTTCAGCAGAAAAATGTGCAGTGTTCTTTCAAAAGAGGTTATATTTTATGGTTACAAAATTTAAAGGGATAGTTATTCTGCCACAGAATAAAAACAAAGGTAATTTCAACTTTTTACTTCACACTTCTGACTTTTCTTCTTGCACGATGTAAACTTAGAATGGTGAGAAAAACAGTCTGCAAGATGTAAACTGCAACTTGCTTGTAATACTTTTCCATGCAATTATAAATTAATAAAATTTCAAACTGCAAAAAGAATGCAAAATATTATCATAAATGTGGTCCATACGGCTTACTTATGCAACATATTTCACGTCTTCTGTAGCCATATGACAGCTTTGTGTAAAGAACAGTGCTAAACAAGGCATTGCAGGCCTACTGAATTTTAATTATATGATACCACATAATTAATATTCATGAGCCAAGTTGATGTGTTTTTCTAATTTTGCCCTTAAAGAGCAAACTGTGGCTCTTATTTTACACATCATTTTGATGGGCACCTTAGTTTCACAGAGCTAGACTATCTGCTGATGGCTTCCGGCCTGTCCTGTCCTGCCAGATCTCTGTGTCTCACACTATCATCTTTTAATGGGTATGTCACGCTCCATCAACCCCGCTGCTCTCCTGCCTCTCCAAATTAATCAACAAAACATGCAGAACCAGAACATCATCAAAGATTTCATTAGGATGGAGCATCTTCATGCTCTCTGGAACGATTATGTGCCTGAGTGAATAAAATGAGAGGCACTAATTAACAAATGAATCAGAACTTCAAAATTTTCTATAGAGTTTTAGAAAATGTGACCGCCATTTTTTGGGGGGAGTGGGGGTAGTTGTTTAACTATTGTATACTACCTTTCAAAAGTTGATTTTATTTTTAAAGAAAATAATAGTCATTCAGCAAGGATGCATTAAATGATAAGAGTCTTTACTGTCACTTTTGAACGATGTTACAAAAAGTTTTATTTTAAATAAATGCTGCTCTTTTGAAGTTCAAATCAAAGAATTCTGAAAAAAGTATGCTTCTACAAATTATCAAGCAGCACAACTGTTTTCAACATTGATAATAATAAGAATTGTTTCTTGAGCAGCAAATCAGCATATTAGAATGATTTCTGAAGGATCATGTGACACTGAAGATTGGAATAATGATGCTGAAAATTCAGCTTTGCATCACAGGACTAAATTACATTTTAAAATATATTCAAATAGAAAACACTTATTTTAAACTGCAATAATATTTCACAATATTGCTCTTTTTACTGTATTTTTAAACAAATAAATGCAGCCTTGGTGAGTGAGTACATGAAAAATTTTCATTAGTGTTATTTCACTGAAAGCAAAATGTTGTGTAAAGCAACAAATTCACATTCAGAAAGAGCATATTTGATCAATATGCAGTTATGTAAGTGGGATTTTGAACCTAATATAGTTGTCTAACAAACCTGGCATTGTGTATTAAGAATATTGTTGGATTGACTTCCTCTTTGGATAAAAGCGTCTGCTAAATGCATAAATGTACATTGACCAATGAGATTTCTCTGTGGGTAAAGCACGTCATAAACCATCTCTCAGCTCTATGAGGGCACTAAAACTGTACCTGAGTGTGTCCGGCCATCTCAATGCCAGCATCTAAAAACTCATCAAAGTCTTGGCTGAACTTCCCGGAAGCCACAGCCAGCTGGCTATGCTCCTGAGAGCCATGTCCACATCCTTTTGTCCAGGTAAGCAGTTCACACAGTTATTGAGGGAGTGAGAGACAGCCTTCGCCACCTGAAAAACACCAACAAACACACACATTCCCACCAATAACTCTACAAAGGCCCAGAGAGATGCGGCGTGAATCTAAAATTCAAATCAGCCCCTCGGCACAACAGAGAAATCTGTGTCCCTAATTTATGCCACTGTCACATACATATGCCAAGCAATATGTTTGCATCCCAAAGGAACCTGTGCGAATCAGGAGGCACGCTGGCACCTTCCAGAAAAAAAGGTCATCGAGAAACAGAGAGACAATAGAAAATAGCTCCGTTTATTGGAGATAATTGCCAAGAGGGATCTGATGGGAGACTGATCTGGTTTTAACACAGTAGCTGAAGACGACAAAAACTATTCTGGCCTCAAATAAAGATGAATAAATACTATTTTTTTGGATAACTATGTAACCAAACTTCTACTTCAGCATCTACTTGTCACTGAATAAATGTTCTTGAAGATGGGTGGACATCTGTCTTAAATTGCATGTGGTTTAATGTGCGTTGTCCTACCTGTGCTAATCTCTGCTGGCTCTCGGCATCACCAGGGCACACTAGGGCTTGGTCGGCTTCGTGGATTAGCATGGCCGAGCCCTCCATCACGTGACAGGCGGAGTCCAGCATGGCCGCTGCAGCTTTAGGCTCCACGGTACTCGCTGCCACTCCCCTCGCAGCCTGGGCCAACGTCCTCAGAGCTTGAGCAGTTTCCCTTGCTGCCACACCTGCCGCAAACACACACACACACACACACACACACACACAAATACAGGCCAATTAATTGGACAATTTATGGCATTCTGAGGTTATATCTTTCACAGCGATCTACTGCTATAATCGGCAGACCGATTAATCAGCCGATATTTTCCATGTTGAGATTATATCTATTATAACGATCTACCGATTTAACAGTCAAATCAGTTAATCAGATGATATTTGGCATTCTGAGGTTATATCTATCACAGT